GATTGTGGTCTCTGAATGAACTTGAGCCTCCAAATCAAGGAGGTGTGTAGTGAAACTGGTTATCATGTTGATTTTGAAGTTGAAAAGCATGAAGCAATACTGCTGGTACTTACTAGACTTGCTGAATCCAGAAATGCACTCTTCCAGGAACTCTAAGGTGAGGTGGGGTTCATTAGCTGCAAGAGTCTTACTAATAGATACAATAAATAGTGTGTTGTTGGCAGGAATACAGAGTCCTGACGTTTCCAGTAACTGGCCCTCAATCTTTAAATTAAAGGTACATGTTAAGGCACATAGAAGATTATAGGCAGCAGACCTGTAACAAAGCAAGCAACGTGACTTGTAAGAGTCTTCTTGTACACATATTAAAACACATGCATTACACCAAGGCACCACAGTAGTAATACTGACATTTGAAAACTCACAGCACTACTGCTATGTAAGAGATTACATTTAAATCCTGAACTTCTTTCCCTGCACTAGTTAAGACTCAGAGACAAAAACATTTGCCTTGAAGAGATGAAAGGAATTACTCCTCCACTTGCTCTAAACAATTCCTGATGAGGTTAAAGACTGTGCTTGAAGGAATTTTGCACTGGAATTCTCAGAACAGCTTTCAGTTCCAGGAAATTCTATGTATTTCCATGTGCACCTGAGCTGCTGGGAGGAGAGAGAGACCACCATGGCCTGCAGGCAGAGGCAGTGCTTTGTGCCACCATTGAGAGCCTGCTCTAGAGCTGCAGCTCCCACACTATTAAACAAGTTCAACACCATGGAAATCAGATGTACCTAACAAACATACATTGGAAAGCAGAAGTATTTCTCCTTATAAAGAGAAATTAAGCTTCCTACACACCTCCAGTGACTGTGTTAATGCACGTGCCTTTCTTCCTCTATAGAAAACACAAGCTTGCTTAAATTAAATGTACATTTTAGGGAGCTGTGGTGAAAGAAAAATCGTTCTGTTCAAGAGAGACTTGCTCACACTGAGAAAACCCTGAAAAGGATTCACACTTTGATCAGAGCTGACGTTAATGTAAAAGGTCCGTACCGCAGGCTGGGGTCGGAGCTCCCCAGGTTGAGCAGCGCGATGTTCAGCAGCGTCCCAGGGACATCCTTAGGGCGAATTTTGGTGTGCTGGGGGATGGAGTCTGGTTGTGAGAGCTCCCACCGCGTCCGTATGTGAATGATGGACCCGACAATGGCTTCACACTCCTGATGCATGAAGGTGAGTGGTGTGCCCTGGTTGGCAATGGTCAGCGTAAACTGGTTCTCATCCACAAGACAGATTTCCTCGATCTCAGAGGCATAGTAGATGTCATTTAGAAACACTGTTTGTCCCAGGACTCTTGTTCGTTCCGCTGATGTCACCTGCACAGCGGTCGACCCAACCTTAGGAAGAGAACAGAAAAGTGGTTCAGCACCTACTGTTAACAGTGCACAGAGACAAGTCTGACACCTCTAACGTAATGAACGCATGGAATTTTATACTTCCTAAAGAGGCATACTAACAACTTGTGTTTTCTCCTCAAGACAGGAGAGGAGAATTAAGAGACAGTAAATCCTATGCAAATCCTTATAAAAATGTATCAATCCACTAGGAACAGCATTCAAAGGACTTACTTTAATAGAAACTTTGGTGTCTTTATGAGCCAGTTTGAGAGCATTGTGAAATACTTTCAAGTCTTCCTCCAAAGCCAAGGTAGCTGCTGGGAGTTTCTGCTGGTCGTGCTCGATGTGCTCGGCCAATTTCCCTGGAGAGTCTATGAAAATAAGCCTTTTGCTTCCTTTCAAACCTGTCAAGAGCCTTTCATGGTATTTGGTGTATTCTCTGACCCAAGAGTTACAGTTATAAATAAACACTGCTGAGACATTTTCATAAGCAAAGCCTGGAAAAACTACAAACCATTTAGAAAGAAAGTCTGTTTTAAAGCGATTACTGGGGCCAGCGTGAGTGAGGTCCACCACAATCTCATATGGCTTTGCATAGTATGGCTTCAGAGTCAGCAGCACGTGGTAGATCAGCAGGTCTCCATTGATCTGACCGGTCTTGAATCTGTAAGAGAACAAGGCAGACACGGCTGGGTTTGCGTGCCATGGCTCACACTAACTCCAACGTTAGCGCCCATGAAGCTGACTTGGGACTTCCCATAACATAAAAATATTAAGAACTTCTTGTTCTCATTTAATGATTCTCTGAATTTCAGGAGACTGGACAGTGATCAGCCGAAACCAAGTCTCCAGAGTCAACACGACTAGTAGACAAAAGTCTACTAGGAAGGATTAACTGAAAACCAAATTCAACATCTCATGGACATCTGAGGTACTTTAAATACCTGCCACTGTTTCAAGCTACCATTAACTCTGCTCCTTCAAGGCAAACTGATTGTCTACAGAAGGAGGTAGTTTTCAGTGTGCTGGGACACTGCTCTTGGGAAGTCTCAGGTAAACCACCAGGGCACAGGGTAACTGAGGAGAGAAATTTCATGAACGTAGAATATTTCTCTGCCAAAGACTCTCTCTTCCCTCCCGTGTTACTTCCTGTTGTTCCAAGAGCTAATTTGGGCAAGTTGGTGTTTTTCCCCCTCTTAACGTGTCACAGTATAGTTGTTACAAAACGGAAGTGTGTCATCTCTGTGGTTTTAGTTCTCCACTTAGAGTGAACGACGTATAATTTCAGTTACAGATTTGCTTAAAACATACCAGCACTGTCTAAACTGACTTGCTTCATGTTAATGGTCATTTGCATCCTAAGAGCAAATACATGCACAAAGAAACTCCATTGTTGAAGAACTAAATACGTGAAACACCAATTTTCTTTTGACTACATCTTGCCAAGGTAAGTACACATTTTCTTTCTCTTAAGTTCCACTTACAAGTTTCTAAGATGTTGTGAAAAACTGCATGCAAAAGTATCTTTAAAGAAGTTCAGGTGACTCAGAAATAGTAACACCCTGTACAAATATCTCCAACTGAATTAGGAGGCTGATGTAACTGTATTTTTAGTACTGTTAAAGGTTATTCACAATCAGACTCCTAAGAATTAACAGTGACAGTCGGTCCTTGGCTCTGTTGTTAGTGCAGATTTTAGTGAGCACTCACAGAAGACCCTGTCCATACCTAGGCACAAAGGGCTGAAATAAAAAGAAAAAGCAGCTCTTTGATGCAGTTCCTTTGCTCTCATGATTGTAAGTGAAGCCCTTAACATCAGTTTCTTTATTTGTAAGAAAAGCACATCTGGTCTGAACACCACAATTAACACTGGACTTGTTGTACCCTCGAAGGAGTAGGCAGAAAGAGCTGCAGCTCTCAGGCAGTAACATTCAAGTTGGAGTAGATCTGTACTGGCAAATGGAGCTCAGTTCTGCAGGTCATGCAGAAACTTCACGTGAAAAGTTGTTCTGTTCCCAAGGAAAGGCTTTGCTGGCTTTGCTTTTTCTCCTTTAGAATCATAGTACAAGGCACTGTCGAGGCAACCTTCACTGTCTGAAGATAAAAATCCTACCTGAGCTGTAGCTGATTTCTAAGGCAGTTTCTAGTTCAAACTTAGCAGTAAGGATTCATCTCAGAATGGAGTCTAATTGTACGTCAGAGAAGAACTGCAAAGTAATGTCTATCTTTTGCTGCTCCTTTGTCCCATAAGGAGAGGCACCCATCGCTGTCCCCTGGTCACACACAGGCATGTCACCTCTCACGCTCCTGGAGGACATCAGCAGGATGGGGGTTTGCAAGATAGGCAAGTTCACCCTCTGATTTTGGGGAGCGAACAGGGCTGTGTCTTTGGCAGGCACGGCAGCTTCTGACTATCATAAAAGGGAACATTGGAATATTTCTGAATGACCTAACCTCACAAACATACGTGTTACCTTCAAAGTACTAGCTTCAAAGCCAAATGCTTCATAAGAATAGCACTGTTACTTTTGGTCATTCTCTGTATTGTTTATATTTGAACCAACCACGGTCTGTGACGTTCAAAGCAAACATCTTCTGTTATAGAGACAGGTGAAAGACACTGCATGGGATAAGCCTTAAACTCTGACAGGGTCTCACACGAGCAAACTGGATGAAACAGCAGCAGCAAAGTGCTTCACTCCTTGTCTGATTTGTCACTATCATTTTGAGGTTATCTAACAGTATCAAAGTTGTAATCAAAGTATCAAAATTAAGGTTATTGACTGTATCAGGCTGACCTAAAGATCAGTTTCCTGCCCTCCAGACAAACTCAACTGGTACAGATTTGAACACTACACAAATGTGAGACAGACCATACTACTGGTAATACCATTTGCATCACTCTCTCAGGCGTTTCACAGAAAATGTCACAATCTGCAGCATGTTTCTGAGAAAAATAAGCAGTACATTTGTGATAAAAAAGCCTTTTGTACAATAAAGCAGAAAAAGAGAGAACAAAGATTTCCCTGGGCGTTTGTGAAACACTCCAGACACCTGTGCTAAGAACAATTAAAACAGTAAGTTGCAGGAACGGTTCAGACTGAGGTTTTTCACTTGACCATCTTGACATGCATGGCTACATTTCCCACATCCAGGAGAGTGCAGGACAGCAGCAGCAGCCAGCTGTATCCTGCACATGGGTTTCTCATTCGGCTGTGTAAAAGCAGAAGTGATGAACCTGAAGCTGTAAGATGGCCAGCTTTAAAGAGGAGGAACTACCAAAAAGGAGGAACTACAGAGTCTGCCTCTACATCACGGAGTAGGTAGTAGGAACTTCCCTTCTCCCTATGGTCCATGTTCTTTTTCAGTCTTCATATATTCTGTATAAACCTCAAACTATCAGAAGTCAGAGACAATGGGTTCTGTCAGAATAGCAAGTACCTGCTCTCGACCCCCTGCACCCACTAAAACTGAGGTTGTTACATACTTTTTTAATCAAAAAGGCTGCTGCCTGCTCTTCCCTGAGGAACCCCAGTCAAACCTCTGAGAACCAGCCCTTGCTAAACAAATCCCATCATTTGTATTTTTGCAGGTGACTAAACAGGAAGATGAAGACAAGGAGACACAGCAAACCACACTCTGCCTTCCCCATCCTGATAATCTTTGCTTTGTGTTTGCAAACAAGTGCAAACCACACCGATTACCCGAGAGTTACAAACGAAACCTGGAATCCTACCAGCCAAAATCTAAGTGGAAGCCAGAACATAACCAAAGCCAATACAGATTCTCCTCTGAGCATCAACTTCAGCAGCAAAACGACTACTCTGGAAATGCAGACGGGGACCCTGCAATCCTCATCCGCCACAACGGCCCAAAATCTCACATCCTCCCCTGCCAACAGTGCCGCGGCCACTTCTGCCACTGTCGGATCCAGGAATTCCAGCAAACCCAAGAGTACAAGGACAAAAGAAAACTGTGAAGACAGCAAGTCTCTCATAATGATCTGCTTCATTGTAATAGCAGTGCTCGTGCTCATCTGCACCTTCTTATTTCTGTCGACAGTCGTAATAGCCAACAAAATGTCTTATCTCAGGAAAGCTCAGCAGGGAAAACGCAGGCCCAGGAGCAATGGTGATATCCTGGCAACCAACAGCTTGTGGCCAACGGCTGCAGGGACGTGGCAGAGGATGAAGGAGACGACTGGAACTGAGTTGATATTGCAGGACTTGATACCAGGGAGAGACACCGCGATCCCAAGGGAAACTGAAGCTGAAACTACCAAGAAACTCACTAAGGAAGCAGACAACAAGCAGGGAAGCAAAGAGCCATTGAAGGCTCACAAACCCATTTTAAGCAATTTTGTAGTTGAGATTTAATCCATACTCAAGGAAGACAACATAATTGTCTCTTGCCTTTTTTACATCATTAATATAAGGCAGAAACTTCACTTTCAAGTAACATGAATTTTAACACAAGAAAGCTGAATTCAGATCTTAGGGGGTTTCCTTTTATCATAGTGGGAATGTTGCAGCAACTTGTAGATCTAGACGGGAATAAGACTGTGTTAAAAGCTCTCTGTAAACCAGTGTCAAGACCGCCTTTACTCCTGTGACCAGAACTCATGGTGATAGGAGCCGAATGGGATAAAACAAAAAGGACAGAAGCCTGCCCATTCTCAAAGGTCACTGGCAGAAATAAAGGGAAGGAGTGTTAGCGTGATAAATGCAGCACACCATGAGGTGCTGCACGGTATAACCAAGTTGCTTTTTTAAGAAAGCTGTAATTTAGTCACAACTGATGCAATGACTGAATGGGGAACTCGTCCCTCTCCAAATGCCCTTTCAGGCTTTTCCATCAAGAACTTCTAAAACCAGCGTAATTGCTTTTGAACCAGATTGAGACATGAATCATATTTATTGTGTTGAGTTCGTGTGTGAAGATAGGAAGTTTGTATTATATGTTAGAACATGATAATGGTTTCAGTTTGTTATCTGCAATAAACCAGTAACATCCATTTTTAAATAGCTCACGTGATACTGTTTCTCTAAGTCAAAATAGTCCAAAAAGACATCAGTCAGGGCAGTTTGGAATATTATGGTCCTCTAACACTTGCTGAAGGTCAGTAAAGGTCTCCCCTGACGCCTGGCTGTGACGTGTCTTGCACTACAGACGCACACTCCACTTTGTCCCAATACCACCAATTACAACATGCCAAAAGTATCTTCAAACCCACCACAACTTCTCATTTCTTTATTCTCAGACGTGACTTCGCCATATCTGGGGGAGGTCTGAGTCTGCCTCCTGGGTCAAAGGCGATCTGCTGTACCTTGGTTACACGTGCTTACACTACATGATGTTGAAGCTCTAAGCATCCTGTGCATCTGTATCAAGCATCTTTGACACAGGAGATGGTTCTATGGTTCAGGACATAAGACTGAGTCCCCAGTTCCTATCCCATGACATCACTCATAAAAGTGGCTGAAAGGGCAAGTAAAAAGCAACAGAGAAGCAAGAGGACAGGGGATTATGTCAGACACATTTAAACATGAGGGGAAAGGCCAGGAGAAGAATTAGCTCAAACTGTGACACATCAGGGATGACAACTAGTACTCAGAGGAGATGAACCGCAAACATCTCACACTGGTGACAGAAACAAAGCTGAAGGGCAGTGCAGGGGGATGCTGCATTGCAGTTACCTTCTCCCTCTCCAGAATGACCATGAGCACAGGGGGCAACAGCAGAGGCTGTGCATGTACTAAAAAAGAACCTGAGATAGCAAATGTGAGAATCTAACCTGGTGTAAAACTGCAGCCAGGCAGGTACGGAACTGAAAGGGAAAAGTCTGTAAGAGTGAGACACTCTGCATACAGATGCTTGTAGGCAGCAGATTAAAGGGATAAAACAGCAGTGTCATGAAAAAAGCAGACAAAAAAGGAAAGAATAATGATCACATCAGTGGAAGGAAGGAAAAAGAGGAAGGAAAAAAAGCCTTCAACAGGGTGGGTACTGTGGCAAAAGATTGGTGGAGACTATAAGGGTTGAAGAGAATGGGGATGAGATGAAGCAATCAGACAAGAAACTGAGTTACAGTGTGAGCATGGGATAGGATTTGCTGCAGGAGCAGTGAGAAAAAGAGAACTGGTGCAGTCAGAAGAGTGGTACAACAGGAAGAGCAGGAGGAGATGGAGAAGCTGCAGAAGGATCTGGCAGCAGTTACTTGGCACTGTCAGAAATACACTTGCAAAATGCCACGAGGACATATTTGATGTGGGTTTCTTTTTGCCAGGGAGCCTTTCCAGGCAAAAATGCTTAAGGAGACAAAAAAGTAGTTGGGGTCACACACAGTGGTATGGACAAAGGCAGGCAGTGAGAAAGCAGCTGCTCTGTTAATGATGGCAGCAGGCTCCAACACTGCCCAGACAGAACAATAACCTGGAGAGCAGGGGCAGGAGAGGGGTGAATCTGAGTTACCTCCTTTCACTGCAACTGCACAGATGAAGATGTGCACACCAGCCAGCAGCCTGTGATCAGAGCTCGCCATGACTCACTGCAACCAGCCTGAGGTTGCTTCTCCACTAATAATCACAACAGAACATCAAACCTACCACCAAAATTAAATCAGCAAGATCCAAATCCAGCCCAGACCTGCATAACTTTCGATTCACACAGAAGTAGCTGTAACTATTTTCAACAAAGACATGCAAACAAGTCTATGTGAGTTTGTACATAACACATTGCAGACTAAAGCCACAAACATGTAAATATTTGAGTTCGATAAGAACAACAGGGCTGAAAAGTTTGCTGTGAAACATGCAAGCTCAGAGATCAGGCTCTTGGTACATCTCCCACTCCTGACGCTTCCTGCAGCAAGCATTGCTGAACTTCCTCTTTAGCTGCAGAAACCTTCAGAACATGAACCAAGCCATTTTAAGCTGCTCGACTTGCAGCACAGTCTGTGTTCCTCAGGCTTCCAACAGGAAAGTGAGCCCATGCCCGCTTGACAGAAGATAAACGAGCAGGTAAGAATCGACTTCAACAGGGAAAGGCTTAATACTTGTCTGGTTTGGTGTGAAACGGAACTGCACTGTGTATGTCTAACTGCAGGGTGTGTTCAAAGCTCTTGTTCAGTGTCTATCTTAAAGGTACTCGGGTTTGGGACACACGTTTGATGTTGTTACTATGAACTATCATAAACTCTACTTGTATTATTTGGCTGTATACTGAAAAGAGGGGAACAGAATGAAAATAAAATGGAATAAGTTTTACCTGTTTGGATCATCATGTGCTCAAGAAGCATTAACTCACTGCTCGTGTTTTCACTGTTGCATCTGAAATTTCACTTTGCATATTTGTAAACCCAGGAAGCTTTATGCATATTCATTTCTTCGAAACAGCTTCCCATGACTACCACTAGAGTAAGTAATAAATGAGCTCAAACTGCATGGAAGTACCTTCAGATCGAAACCGACTATGTAGTGGCTGCATTTTATATCATTTATACAGAGACATTCAGAGATCTGAACTCTAAACAGTACAGAAAAAAGAAACCTGTGTCATGCCAACATCCTCACATTAACACGATCTCTTTCGTTACAGAAAGTGCCCCATGTGCAGGGATTTATTTATAAAACCAGTTTAACGTTAGAATGTGGTTCTCTTTCAGCATCACTATTTGGAAACTTGAAAAAACTATTACACTGTACCCAAAACTGCTGAGGAGAGGCAAGAACAGGAAATAGAAGTTGAAGAGGACTGTAAAGAGCTTTTACTTAGGTCTTGGCTTACATCCATCACAAGACGACAATCTTTACTCCCGAGAACCCCGTTTGTCAGTGCTGCTGCGCGTGTTCCAGGTCCATAACCATTTACATGATTGATAAATGTTATTTTAAAACACTGGTTGGACTTCTCTGCTGATGCCTTTTCCTGATGAGGTGAATAAAGGTAACAATAATCAAGGCATTCTCTTCAAAAAATGTCACTTAAGGACAATGATCACTAACGTTGGAAATCTGATTTTTGTGAAGTCAGTGACAAACCTGTTGCTGATACAAATGGAACGTGGGGTCTGATGGTGTTTTCACTACTATAGTATTAACAGAAGACTGTCTGGTGTCAGTGAGTTGTAACACAATGATGCAATTCTCATGTTGATATGTTCTATTTCATCGCAGCTATAGGAGAGGACACAGTCAAAGAGGCTGCAGGAAAATGGTCAGCAACCACGTACTACTGGTTCTCTTCTCTGGGGGAATCTGGAAATCCTTTTCTACAGCAACACCTCAAGACGTTTCCATGAATGTAAGAAAGGCCTCCCCCAGCATCGGGAGTCCAACGGAGGGCAAAGCTCCTCTGTACCAGCTGCAAGCAACCGGACCCAGTTTCCCCAAGGCTGGAGGAGCCCTGGCTGGAGCACCAGCTGTTACGACACCAGCTCAGTTCCCCGGAGCCCCCGCAGAAGCCAGTGACGGGAGCTGGGTAGCAGCACTGATAATTGGCATCATTTTGATTAGCATGATAACGGCTATTGTTATAATCCTCCTGTGGAAATGCCGCCGGAGGCCGGGTCTAGTTTACTCGCACTGGGCCGGCCGCTCTCCCTTTGCGGATGGAGACACACCAGATGTTTTCGTGGACTCTGACCAGGCCACCAAACGTTCCTCTGTTTTATTTATGTTGCCCTGGAAATTTAAACAAGACCCAAACCTACAGCAGGAGCTCACTGCATCAGAGCAACCACCCGACTGCGCTACCTGGAATGAGAACAGCCAACAGCCTCCGCCGGCCGATGACCACACTGCAGCCAGTATTCCAGCTGCCAACACAGAGCCACCTCCAGCTCCCATCCCAGAAGCCACAGGCTGTGCAGGTGACTCCAGTCCTCACCCAGCACCTTCACACGACCCCCCAGATCTGCCCCCTCCACCAGACTGGCTCAGGGAAGAGTGAGCATCACGGATCAGATCCCAGCAAGTACTGGGGATTTCACCCAGAATCAGAGGAACCCCCATTGCTCCCCCCCACACCTGAGTTACTTATTCAAGAGATTCACAACCACTGCCCCAGCCACAGCACCTTTTGTACAGCGCCCAAATTCACACTTCATGTTTGCCTTAAATGAGGTATTCATCAACCAGCTGAAGAAAGCAGAAGTTAAGGCCGGCAGGAACAGAGCCCCCCGCACGGGCATTTCCTCAGCGTTTCTTAACTTCAGCTTTCACAAAAGGGAACAACCTGCTTCTGCCTGAAGCAAATCATTTCAAAATACAGTAAGGATTGTGCCCACTGATTATCTGAGACCAGCGAGTCCAGACTGTGGGGACCACAGAAACAGAGCAGGCACACCTCTGTGTGCCAGTGTACACAGGTATGTGACACACACACACACACGGAGCTTTTGAGAAAGAGCACGGCGTCAGAGGTACCCGGGGCTTCTAAAAATTGTCTGTTCTATTGGGCTGTATAAGCGAATGCAATGAACTGAAGTGAATTTTAATAAAGCTTTCTAACTCAAAGATGTTTTGGTCACATGAAGTACAACTGAGTATTTGCTTAGACACAAAGCTTTGAATTCAGAACACGCCTGTCCTACCAAAGCGCATCTTCCATGAGTGACTGGGTAACGATGGCTTACAGGTATCAGAAATGAACCCTCTCAACAGCCAGCAGTTGTTCTTTGCTAAAAGCAAAGAGATTTCTTTTAGATCAAATATTACCAATAAGCTTTTGGGTGTACCATAAACAGCCACATCACACCATGGTTTGGTAAAGCAGAGAAGAGTGCAAGAAAACAGTTAACACAGGGGTCACTAACACACTGAAATGCCTCCAAAGACCTGAAGAACAAGTCCAAAAGGCTTCCTCCTACCTACATACTTCTGATTTTTACGGGTAAAACAGAAACAGTTTGCAGAACACTCAGCAAATGATTAGCAGAATTAGTTGTGTGCATTCACTAATTTCTTCCTCTGAAGCAGTGTTTTCAGGATGCACTCAATATTCTTAATAGACTTTACAACTAATTTAGCGTTGCGTGGATGCCAGACTCCTTCTAACTCAAGGTGTTCAAGTGTTTGACATGTTCCTTCCTGGGCCCCGAGCACAAGCAAAGTGCATTGTCCTCTCTAAGTCCACTGACTTTAGTACAGTGACTTTCTGGTGGGAGGTAGGAGGGTGGTCTCAGAGGTAAGTAAATTCATTTCCTTACTTTTTGTTAGCCAGTTCTGAAGGTTATGGTTTAAGGAAAGAAGCTGCTAGATGCTTTGGTGGCTTTCCACGCCAGCTCTGCACCATGGCAAAGAGTTTGTAGTTTTGAGTTTGCTGGGGAAGGCAATGTGTTAGTGGATGTTGCACAGAACACACGTTTGCACATGCTACATCAATAAAGATTAAAATGTTTAAATTACTGTGAAAAACTGCAAGTAACAGGCTACACAAA